AAAGTTATTCTATACCATTTTAAGGAGACCCACATGCATAGACTTAAGCCCCACCCTAATTAATGATGTTAATGATTAAGGGATATGTTTTGTTCTTGTCAGTATGGGCCATAATGCTTCAAAATGGTAAGGATGTTTGACTATGTTGTATACTTCTGAGCAATGTTTCTTAAAGTGCATTTCTTTGAATGTTAACAGGTTATTAGGTAAACAAACTCTCTAGCTAAGTAATTTTTTTTAGCTATTTAAAGAAATTTAGCAAGCTTTGTTACCAAAGTACTTCTGGATCTGCTGAAAAGCACTCAGATCTTCTAGAAGCAGGTAAAATAGTAGTCCCCAAGATTACTTGAACGTAGAACCTTTTATCATAGATCCTGTCTCTACTCTGATGTTCTGTGGAATCCACTTTGGAAAATGCTGCCATAAAAACTTAGAACCTCGGGGCTAAAAAGGCTTTAAAGACTGTTTAATATAATTCTCCAATTTATTTTTTCTAAAAACACTTGACCAGTTTTGCCTTCTGTTGTTTATCTTTCAAAAATAATGGAAATTGTGATTTATTTATTCTGAGTAGAGATTTTTGTTCATTTCCACATGTCTTTTCTTAGTGTGGGAGAGCACATTGAAGATTTACTCTGGAAGCTAGCAAGCCTTCGGATGAGAAAAGCTGCTTTGCACTTGTCAGTGGAGGCCTTGTCCTTCCTGAGGTTTACGAAGCCTCATGGGAAGATTAATATTTTTAGGATATATATTACGAAGTGCCATTGATATCAGTATTTGTTGAAGGGAAAGGATCAGGATTGGGCAGAGGGAGACGTTGAACTGCATTTTAGTCACAATAAAGACTTCAGTTGACATCATGGAATGCTGTGGGTCTGTAGTGGCTCATCAGAGCTGTTTTAAGTTGGGGTGAAGGGACTGCACATTGATAGCTCTTCATCACTCAGTCAGTGTAGGCTGGCCCTGGAAGAGCACATGACCTTACCTGAGAAAGCTCTTGCTAACCTGGGAACCTTCCCAGGAGTTAAGAGCTGAGGGCTGTCTGCCATTACCAGTTCCAGTAGCCATAGGAATAAGGTTTTTGTTTCTGGAGGTGTATGGGTAGTGTGTCACAGAATGCACTTCTGGTCTGTCAGTGAGATTGCCTTTATCTCCCAGCAACAAAGACCTGGTGATGCTGAACCCATAGGATTGATTTTTCTCATATAATGAAAAGTCTGAAAGTAGGCAGATTCTGGTATTTGTCTCTTTTGTTCTCAGTCTTTTTCCATGCTCTGAAGATAGCTGCTAGACCTCTAGTTAACATGTCTACATTCTAGGCAGCAAAGGTTCCTAGGAGCTTCACCCAGTGACTTCCACTTGTATATACCTATTATTTGTAAGAGAAGCTAGGAAGCGACATTTTTCAGCAGTCACATAGAGTTCTGTCACAAAGGAAGAATGGATATTAGGGTTGTCAGCTAAGAGTCTTTGCCTTAGAAAATCATGATTAATCTGAGGAGGCAGGTAGGAAAAGCATTGCAGGACTACCAGAGTCATTATTGATGTGAACTGGGGTGGGTGATGGGGCAAGGGAGGGTGGGGATCTGAGTGTGGCAAGAACAGGCTAGGTTTTAGGAAATAAGTCAGGTGGGTAAGAGTTAAAGAATTTTGATGTTAGGAATTGGAAGAAGTGGATAGGAAAGTCACCAGAAATGTGCAGGGTGACCTTAAATGTGCAGGCCCAGTGAAGTTTTTGGATAAACCAGTATCTGAAGCCACTAACCATGTATTTCTTATCTGGGTGGCAACTAGTTACCCCCTCCCCCAAAAAAAACTTAGTAGCAAATATACTTCAAAGTCATGCCAAGCTGAAGGCTTTACCTTTGATCTTGGTGAAATTTCAAGGCCACAAAATTTAATTTGGAAGTTTCAACAGCTGCTTAAATTAATCCTCTGAAATACAATGGCATAGGAAAAGTTGTATGAAGTAAAAAGAATCTTTTGCTAGCCAGAATAGTATACTGTTATATAATGTAATATAAATGGTCTGTTTTCATGCCCTAAAATCTCCTTTGAGATCTCTTTCTTATAATACTAAACAGTTGGCCGGGCACAGTGGCTCACGCCTGTAATCCCAGCACTTTGGGAGGCTGAGGCAGGCAGATCACCTGAGGTCGGGAATTTGAGACCGGCCTGGCCAACATGGCAAAACCCCATCTCTACTAAAAATAGAAAAATTAGTGGGATGTGGTGGTAGGCACCTATAATCCCAGCTACTCAGGAGGCTGAGGCAGGAGAATTGCTTGAGCCCAGAAGGCAGAGGTTGCACTGAGCCAAGATCATATCATTGCACTCCAGCCTGGGCGACAGAGCAAGACTGTGTCTCAATAATAATAATAATAATAATAATAATAATATAAACATTTATAACTGAAACATTCCCCCATTTAATGCCAGTGAAAGGATAGGCCTTTCTGTTGGTTCTTTCTACTCTGTAATTATCCTAGGAAAGGGGCATGTAGCAGCACAGCCTCTAAAGTTAAAAGCTTGGCTTGTTGATTCAGACCTTTGTTTCAAAGCTTAGCTCTTCTGCTTACTCTCTGTATGATCTTGGCCAAGACTGCTTGAGTCAAACAGGTGATTTTGTCCCACCTAAGAGACATTTGATGATGTCTTTGATGAGAGATATTTTTGGTTGTCACAACTGGGGTGGGAGTTGCTGCTGGCATTTAGTTGGTGGAGGCAGCTAAAAATCCCACAATACACAGGACAACCCTCACAACAGAGAATTAGCTGACCCAAAATGTGAACGTTGCTGATAGTAAGAAACCCTATTTTAACCTTTCCAAGCCTCCATTTCTACATCCAAGAATTGAGGTTAGTAACAGTACCTATTTAATCATTTTTGTGATGGTTAAATGAGATAATCCATGTAAAATGCTTAACCTAGTGCCTGACACATAAATGTTCTGTTAATATAAAAATTTAAATCTTATTATCATTATTATCATAATGAGTACTAATCCGGATATTTAGGCTGAATTAAAAGAATATGTGGCCTACTACCTATAGCCATGCAGCCAGGAAAATTCATTTGCATTTTTCTTTCATCTGATGAAAATGTGTAAAGAACAAGGAAAAGGGGGAATGAAATAGAAGCCCTTCTTGCTTAAGAGTCAAATAAGATAATGAATCAGTTAGGTACCATTATACTTTATTCTAAAATCTACAAAAATGATGCTCAATCCAACTCAGGTAAATAGCTTTCTTCATGTTGATGTCATTTTTTCTTCTCTCTTTGCTTTCTTCTTTTTATATGATATTGTGAAGTTACAGCTCCTTGCCTCCCCACATCTTTTCAAATTTTAAATTTTAAAATCTTTTCTGAGCTGGACACAGCGGCTCACACCTACAATTCCAGTACTTTGGGAGGCCAAGCTGGGAGGTTCACATGAGTCCAGGAGTTTGAGGCAAGCCTGGGCAACGTAGCAAGAACCTGTCTCTAAAAAAAAGAAATTCTGTTTTTTAATTAGCCAAGTGTGGTACCACCTACCAACAGTCCCAGCTACTTGGGAGTTTGATGTGGGAAGATACCTTGGGCCCAGAAGACCAGTGCTACAGTGAGCAATTATCATACCACTGTACTCCAACCTGGGCCACAAAGTGAGACCGTTTCAAAAAATAAATAAAATAAAATCATTTCTGGTTAGCAAGGATTTGGGAGACATTATATGAATAGAAAGTGTTAGCCAGGACAAAGCATTGGTATATTTCAAAATGAAAGTTGGCCAGATGTTGTGGCTCATGCCTGTAATCCCAGCACTTTGGGATGCTGAGACAGAAGGATCACTTCAGGCCATGAGTTTGAGAACAGCTGTGACAACATAACCAGACTACCAAAAAAATTAAAAATAATAACCTGGGTGTGGTGACACATACCTGTAGTCCCAGTTACTCAGGAGGCTGAGGTGAGAGAATCACTTAAGCCCAGAAGGTCAAAGCTACAGTGAGCTATAATCATGCCACTACTTTTCTACTGCACTCCAGCCTGGGCAGCAGAGTGAGATCCCATCTCTTAAAAAAAAAAAAAAGGAAAATTAAAACCATGCCACCATTACAGATTATTTTGATAGTAACCAAATGAGCTACTGAAATGTTTGCTATGTTTTCAAATCTATAATTTTCATTTGATAATTTTTATTAAGGTATACAGTAGTAAACTCCAAACCTCTAAACTTTACTTAGTAACCATAAATTCATTCACATTGCAATGATATTAATAAATTATCTTTTATTTTTCAAGGCAAATGCAATAGGCCGAAGTGCTAAAACTGTTCGAGAATTTCTAGAAAAGAACTACACAGAAGATGCCATAGCAAGTGACAATGAAGCTATCAAGTTAGCAATAAAAGCTTTGCTAGAAGTGAGTGATCTATTAAAGCATATTCACAAAATCATGAGGTTTTTTTTTCTCATCCATTTTTGTCTATTAAACACACAATTTGCTGAAGTAATTCTAATAGCGTACTTGTTCTACATTAGGTTGTCCAGTCTGGTGGAAAAAACATCGAACTTGCTGTAATAAGAAGAAACCAAGCTTTAAAGGTAAGTCATTAACCAAAGAGGAAAAAGTATCCATAACATAAAGTATTTTGACAAAAGTAAAAAGTTGTACGCCCTCTACGCTTTCAATATAATGTTATCCTTCATTAATGTCAAATAACCTCCACTCCTTCCTGATCGTCTGCCAGTTTTTTGTTTGTTTGGTTGGTTTTTTAAATAGAGACAGGGTTTCACCATGTTGCCCAGGCTGGCCTCTGACTCCTAGACTCAAGTGATCAGCCCGCCTTGGTCTCCCAAACAGGTGTGAGCCACCACACTTGTCCTGTCTACTGAATTTTATGTATTTTCATTACTTTACATTTAAAAGTGCCTTGACCTTCTGTGAGACTTAAACTTTAATGCCTAGCATGATAACCTTTCCATATTTCTTTGCGCCAAGTATAATGTTATAATATGTATAACATTTGTCAGCCATTATGGGTTAAAACTGCTGGACTACAAAATAAAATATTTAGGATATTGTGATAGAGGACTCACTGGCTACAGAGCATTTGAAATGTAGTTTACTATTGTTCATTAGATAGAACTGTACCGTATAGTTTGCCAACTAGCTTTCTTTAGCCCAGACTGTACAAAAGCACTCAAGACATGGAAACTATATTGAAATATACTTAAAGGATTGTTTTATTGCCAAACATGGCAGCGCATGCCTGTAATCACAGCTACTTGGGAGACTGAGGTGGGAAGATCACTTGAGGTCAGTGCAAGACCAGCCTTGGCAACAAAATGAGACCCCATCTCTAAAAAAAAATTTTTTAATTAAAAATTAAATTAAAAAAAAAAAAAGATTGTTGCTGGGCACGGTGGCTCACACCTGTAATCCCAGCACTTTGGGAGGCTGAGGTGGACAGATCACTTGAGGTCAGAAGGTCAAGATCAGCCTGGCTAACATGGTGAAACCCTGTCTCTACTAAAAATACAAAGAAATTAGCCAGATGTGGTGGTGGATGCCTGTAATCCCAGCTACTCAGGAAGTTGAGGCAGAAGAATCACTTGAACCTGGGAGGTGGAAGTTGCAGGGAGCCGAGATCACACCACTGATCTGGGCAACAGAGCAAGACTCCATCTCAGAAAAAAGTTTTTTAAAAGAATGTTTTGGCTGGGCGTGGTGGCTCATGCCTGTAATCCCCAGCATTTTGGGACGCCAAGGCACGAGGATGACGAGGTCAGGAGATCAAGACCATCCTGGCTAACACAGTGAAACCCCCTCTCTACTAAAAACACAAAAAAATTAAAAATTGGCCAAGTGTGGTGGTGCATGCCTATAGTCCTAGCTACTCAGGAGGCTGAGGCAGGAGAATTGCTTGAACCCAGGAGGCGGAGGTTGCAGTGAGCCGAGATTGTGCCACTGCACCCCAGCCTGGGCGACAGAGCAAGACTCTGTCTCAAAAAAAAAAAAAAAAAAAAAGAATGTTTTACATGTCTTTGTTTTTAAGGAAAATATTTAGAGGAGAAATAGTATTAAAATTAGTGCCATCTGGAGCAGTGGGTTTTTTTTTTTTGTTTCTGTTTTTGTTTTTGATGTCATGGTTGCTTTGACATCGATTTCCTACCTTTTATTATTCAACTAACAGATGGGATATGAGGATAAGACAGCAGCAAAGTTTCAATAAATAAGAGAAATGGGGACAGGATTGTGGAGCATGCTCCTGCAGAGCCCCACATAAATCATAGGGTGCTGAGCACAGAGTGTGGAAATGGATATTGTCCAGGTTGTCACCCCGGCTGCTAAGAGCCCAGGGACAGATGCAGCAATACCATAGGGGCACAGAAACCACCGAGGCCAGAGTTTGCCTCTTCCACTCCATAACGTATCTATGCATATACACATAGACAGACAGATAGACAGACAGACACACACACACACACACACACACACACACACACACAAAGTTATACACACATTTTCCTTATGAGTGGTATGCTGACTGACAGCAGTGTTATACTGTCTTCAATCAGATATTTCAGGATAGGCTGTGTAGGCAATAGAACACATGCTTCGGAGTTGGTAGACTTAGATTAATTTCCAACGGATATGTTTATTTGACAATATGACCTTGAGCAAGTTGCTCTGATCTTCAGCTTTCAGTTTTCTTGCCTGTAAAATGAGTCTAACAATAACTTCATCAAAGCGCTGTTATGATAAGTAAATGAAACGGTATGAGATAGTAGTATCCTTTATAGTAGGTGCTCATTAAATGGTACTATTAAAGGATAAGATACCATATATCTGTTTACAGGCATACCTCATTTTTGCTGCTTAACTTCATTACGTGTTTCAGATAACTGGGTGTTTTACAAATTGAAGGTTTCTGACGACCTGTGTTGAGCAAGTCTGTCAATGTCATTTGTCCAACATCATGTGCTTACTTTGTATCTCTGTTACATTTTTGGTAATTCTCAGAATATTTTAGACTTTTTCATTATTATTATATATGTAATATAGTAACAGTGTAATTATTATATAATGGTGATCTGTCATCAGTGATCTTTGATATTACTGTGGTAATTGATTTGGGATGCCATGAACTATACCCATGTAAAACAGTGAGTGAACTTAATCAATAAATGTTTCATGTGTTCTGACTGCTCCACTGACAAGACATTTACCCATGTCTCTCCCTCTCCTCAGGCCTCCTATTGCCTGAGACATAACAATATTGAAAATAGGCCAGTTAATAAGCTTATGAGGGCCTCTAAGTGTTCAAGGGAAAAGAAGAGTCCCATGTCTCTCACATGACTTTTAAATCAAAAACCTAGAAATTGTTAAGCTTAGTGTTGAAGGACAAGACAGGTAGAAGGCTAGGCCCCTTGTGAAAGTTATTCAAATTGTGAATGCGAAGGATAAGTAAAGAAATTTCTTTTTTTATTATACTTTAAGTTCTGGGATACATGTGCAGAACATGCAGGTTTGTTACATAGGTATACACGTGCTATGGTGGTTTGCTGCACCCATCAACCTGTCTACAATAGGTATTTCTCCTCATGCTATTCCTCCCCTAACCAGCCAACACCCAACAGGCCCCAGTGTGTGATGTTCCCCTTCCTGTGTCCATGTGTTCTCATTGTTCAGCTCTTACTCATGTGAGAACATGCAGCATTGGGTTTTCTGTTCCTGTGTTAGTTTGCTGAGAATGATGGTTTCCAGCTTCATCCGTGTCCCTGCAAAGGACATGAACTCATCCTTTTTTATGGCCGCATAGTATTCCATGGTGTATATGTGCCACATTTTCTTTATCCAGTCCATCATCGATGGGCGTTTGGGTTGATTCCTAGTCTTTACTATTGTGAATAATGCTGCAATAAACATACGTGTGTATGTGTCTCTATAGTAGAATGATTTATAAGCCTTTGGGTATATACTCAGTAATGGGATTGCTGGGTCAAATGGTATTTCTGGTTCTAGACCCTTGAGGAGTCACCACACTGTATACCACAATGGTTGAACTAATTTATACTCCCACCAACAGTGTAAAAGCATTCCTATTTATCCACATCCTCTCCAGCATCTGTTGTTTCCTGATTTTTTAGTGATCACCATTCTAATTGGTGTGAGATGGTATCTCATTGTGGATTTGATTTGCATTTCTCTAATGACCAGTAATAATGAGCATTTTTTCATATATTTGTTGTCTGCATAAATGTCTTCTTTTGAGAAGTATTGGTTCATATCCTTTGCCCGCTTTTTGATGGGATTGTTTGTTTTTTCTTGTAAATTTCTTTAAGTTCCTTGTAGATTCTGGATATTAGCCCTTTGTCAGATGGATAGATTGCAAAAATTTTCTCCCATTCTGTACATTGTCTGTTCACTCTGTTGATAATTTATTTTGCTGTGCAGAAGCTCTTTAGTTTAATTAGATCCCATTTGTCAATTTTGGCTTTTGTTGCCATTGCTTTTGGTGTTTTAGTCATGAAGTCTTTACAAATGTCTATGTCCTGAAATGGTATTGCCTACATTTTCTTCTAGGGTTTCTATGGTTTAGGTATTACGTTTAAAGTCTTTAATCCATCTTGAGTTAATTTTTGTACCAGATGTAAGGAAGGGGTCCAGTTTCACTTTTCTCCAAATGGCTAGCCAGTTTTCCCAACACCATTTATTAAATAGAGAATCCTTTCCCCATTGCTTGTTTTTCTCAGGTTTGTCAAATATCAAATGGTTGTAGATGTGCGGTGTTATTTCTGAGGCCTCTGTTCTGTTCCATTGGTCTATATATCTGTTTTGGTACCAGTACCATGCTGTTTTGATTACTGTAGCCTTGTAGTATAGTGTGAAGTCTGGTAGCGTGATGGAATGAGGGAATGTGTTCTCTTTCCGGGTCCATAAGGGGGTGTAGTTTTAGGGCAAGAACTTCCCAGCACCATATTTTCTCCCCATCCCATCCATTTGCATCTGGGAAATATAGCAGTTTATGGTTGAATTTCACTGGTGCAGTGAGAAACTAAGAGTCGATCACTCCAGCAGAAGTTTAAAGGAGCTCTTTTCATTGGCCAGAGGAACATGGGGAGGTGGGAATTTTTCCCAGGATAAATTCCCGTGCTCCTTCACCCATACCGGATTTCCAGCTCTCTGGAATCCCCTTCCACGTAGTGGGAGCTCTCTTTCCCCTCTTGAATTTCCCCTCTGGGGTCTGCTTCCACCCACTGTGGAAGCTGCTTTTCCTGTCTTAAACTCCATCTCTCTCTCTCAATTCCCTTCCACTCAGTGTGGAAGCTTCTTTCCTCTCCTGGATTCCATCTTTCTGGATTCTCTCACTCAGTGTGAGAGGAGCTTTCCTTCTCTGATTTTCCCCCTCTGGGAACCCTTCTCACTCAGTATGAGAGCTAGCTGTTTCTCTCTCCCTATCCTTTTTATCTCTCTGCTTTAAATAAATCACTTTCTACAAACATTTTTGAGTCTGGCATTTACTTTTATGAGCACACTACACTGTGGTCTCCTGTCTCATTCTTGAGAGGGCGATAGACCAAGAACCTGGAGAAACGTT